AGAAGTACATGCCATTCTATTCAGCAGTGGTACAATGAAGGAGTTCTTCAAGTTGCCTTTACAAACATGTAAATATTTTAGAATATTTTTACTGTAAATTTCACCTCAGTTCTGTTCCTCTCTATCCTACTTCATGTCCCACTATTGCAAAAGTAGGCAGTATATGGTGTCCTAGCGACGTTTAAGACCTCTTTCACTTTAAATATTTGAATGGTCCCATTAATTTAACCATGTCTTTGAATGCTATGGTATGTGCTCCCCTCATGCAAACAAATTCTGAGAAGACTGTAATTCATTAACGTAGAAATGAACCGATGAAGGCTGTTAATTACTGGGGAGATAATTTAAAAGTACCTCAAGAAAGCCAAACCCCTGAAAAGTTCCCTTTTGATGTTGCAGCTCCTGTAATCGCAGCATCTCTGCTGTACCAAATCAACGTTTTGCAAAATATACTGAAGTAATGAAAACACTCGGGCAACCTGGATGCTTAACTTTTCATTAAATAAGTTGTAGTTTATATGACCATATTGATGTGGACTGAGTGATTTAAGTGTCCTTTCCTGGAGGTATTTTAATGACTGCAGTAAAAACAAAGCAAACTTTTGTATTTAGTGGAGAAGCTTGCTGTTTTTAATCAAGATAGGTACTATAGGAGAAATGTCCTACTGAGATGTGGGCTATGCAGATTGCAAAGCAGAATCAGCCCTATTGGTAGTAGAGACTTTTTAAGGCTCAGCTTATCTTTGATTAGGTATGCACCCTTTACAGGATTTTTAATCTTGGAGGCTGGACAATTACCACTCTATATAGTTTTGTATACAAAGCTATTATTCCAGAAACATCTGTATGGCTTTAAGAGACACTTGCTTGATTCCTTGCAAACTTTCAGCATAGCTGCTGTTTTGCTGTTGCAGTAAATGCAGATGGATCAGTGTTCCTTTTGTTGAGAAACGAAGAACAAAGATGCACAGAGAATCTCTCCTACACTTCCACATACATCTGAGCGCTGCTTGGCCTCACCAAGTTTTACGTATCTTGCATTTTCTTTACTCACCTCTTATCTTTTATTTATACCAGCATTCTGTAAGCATTATTCTGCCAACAGTTTAAATAACCGGTCAGCAAATATGCAGATCTCATATGCTCTTGGCATGGCTTATGTGACCCTGCTAAGAACATAGCAATGCAGAATCTGACCCAATTCACTTCCTTCCACTTCCTCTTGAGCTGTGTTTGCCAAAGCTAACCATCCTTTAAGCACATCTTATTTTCTTTTTCCAAATGAAGAAGAAAAACTCCAGATGTAGGATATTCAAACAAGACATAAAATTGAAAATTAATTTTTGTTTAAATACAGGTATGAAGGGCTTTGCTTCTATTTAAATTTTAAATTTTGTATATGTTTTGAATGTTTTCAATGCACTGACATAGTTTTCATTATACTGTTTTAACAAAATGCTCCCATTTTAGTTGAAATATAAAAGAGAAAAAAATAAAACAGACTTCAGTATGACTAATTCTTCTCTATTCCTATAGAACTGCAAGATGAATATAACTCTTAATGACCGGCTTTCACATTTATTGGTTTATAGGATACAGAGAAAAGAGGTTACACGTGGATGCTGTGATTAGGACAGGATTAACCTTGTCAGAGGAGGAATTTAAAGGAGACTAACCATTCATGACTGATTGCAATAGAAAAGGATCAATTCAGGTTAAAAGTGCCTGTACCTATTTCCTCCACAAGTTAAAGGTTTGTCCTGCACCACACAGCAAATTAAGTGATGCTTGTACAAAAATGTGATCAATTCAGCCCTTTCCAAGCACGTCTGTATAAAGCCATGTATATGCAATACTTTAGCTGGAAGGCCTCAAGAGTTTACTAAAGAAGCTCTATAACTTCAGATTTTTGTGCCAGTCATTTCTATGTTGTATTGAAAGACATAACAATAAAGTAATGTAAGTTACTCAGCATCCAGTATTGTTGGTAGGACTGTGTACCACACAGTCACGTGCGTATGATTCGGGACTGCACACACACAGCAGCGTAGTTGCAGCGCCATATATGTGTGCTGGCCCTGCATGACTTAAAAATATCAGCAGATATCTTTTCTTGGTATAAAATTCTCAGAGCAGCAGAACCATGTCAATTAAAGTGTTAAGTCTGGGCTTATGTGTTGTGTCTCTCTTTCAAAATAAGATAATTACACACATGTACAGAGTTTCATATTTCTGATAAACAGGTGCTACTCATGGTAATTACTTTTGCTCATAAATAAGAGAATCCACTACCATAATTTCTTAAATAGCTAAATCAAAATCACTAAATCTGTGTGAATACCTCTATCTTGACACAAATAGGTACAAGTTTTGCCTGCCCTTCGCAGCCTGGCAGCCTTTTATCCTGGCAGATAAAAGGTATGGTGCTCTAAAATGCTGCTACAAATGATTTTAATAATAATAATTGGTGAAAAGTAATAGCATCTCTATTGTCTTGGAAATTATGTTTCTAAGATGGGTCTATATGCAGACAGAAAATGCCACTGTTTTAGTTAATGGAGCTAAAAAAATCAAGGCAAGGAGAGGTTTGTAAAGGCACAAAAGTCTGCATGGATGGACAGCAGATTAGAATCACGGAAATGAAGCATACAGGAGCTTGGTTTTACACCACAATCTTCTGGTGACATGTTAATATGGTCCAGGATATCTCAAAGTAGGATTGTAGGTGTTTGTGCCTGCAAAAAACTTCTTGTAAAGGTGGAACTTGCTGACAAAGACCCTGTGCAGGATCAGTACAGGTCACTTAGCTCCAGGGAAGGCCACTCTCCCTGTTATACGTTACATCCGTATGTAATGTACATACGTTACACTGGTAACTGGTGCCTTACACTGGCAAGAAGTTCAAACCATAAAAGAAATGCCAGTCCCCAGATAGCAAACTTTCTAGGCAAGAACTGAAACGGAAATTGGTTTTGTGCCATTTAAATAATTCCCCAGCACTCATACCATTGCGTCACAAACATGACTGTCTCCTAAATTGTATGGGGGTGGCTTTGCATACATCTGTTGGTTGGTTTTGCTTGTTTTTTGTTTATTCCCTGATTTAAGTGATGAATACAGTTTAATCAGGCTCCTGTGCTGACTCCATCTACCTCCTCCCCATTAGAGAAGAACCTGTCTAATTGCAGGGAGGCAAGGGGGATTGGTCAGGGAGGTAACTAGAGTTGTACAACATAGATCACTTCAGAATTCCCTGCCATACTCCCACCATGTGTTAATTGTTTTAAGAGCGGCTGATTTTCTCTCTTAAACTTTCAGGATGGCAAACATGCCTTTGACAAATACCACATATCCCTGTATTAAAGTAGTAGGAAGAAAGCCTTTGTTTTGGTGAATATTCTGCTGTTTGTCGAGGCCTCTGAAAACTTCAGATTTTTTAGAAAAAAGGGGTAGCACTCAGTTGTGTAAGTTTCAGTCAACACCAACTGGTGGTGATATACTGCAGTCTAAATGAGAAGGCTTTCTAATGAAAAAGGATTCCTACTACACCAACCACAAGTGTATCAATGGTGCTGCTGCTAACTGTACACACTAAGCCAGATAAAAGATTCCTGCCATGCAAACATCACCTCCATTGAAGAGATCTACTGCATTTTGTCCTATTGCAGTGGAGAGAAACTCTTCCACAATGCAATGGCTCTAAACAACTAAAATGCTACATTTTTCCCCTTTTAACTCCTTTGTGGTTTTCACTTTGAACTAACTTCACAGCCTTTCGGGAAAAAAATATACAAAATGAGGTTGCATTTTGTATTTAGCATTGTTTACATAGTACTTTTATTTCCAGAGCAGGGTTATCAGGGAAGTTCCATTTCAGATGCTTCAATTTAACGACTGAAAGATGACTGTTAGAAGTGTTGTCTCTTACAAGACTCTCCAGATAAGTGCACTAGAAAAGCAGTAGTGCGCTCTGTTCTCTTTAGCTCCCTCGTCCTGTGCTGTTCGAATTTGCCCCGTTGAGAAACAGTATTTGATAGTTACTGCAAGACAACTCTGAAGTTTTAAATTGTTGTTCCCTCAAGGCACTTCTGAAATTGAGTGTTACCTCATGAGACCTCCTGTGAAGCAAAAGGGTAATTAAAGCAAAATATTAGGAGGCAGCCTTTATTTTAAACGTCAAGCAGCACAGCTTAAGCTCTCTTAAAATGTAATCTCCACTGAAGAGGTCTCTGCCTGAATGACCACCTCCCACTCTCCTTCCCAGCGCCGGCCTGCGGTGACTACCCTGACCGCGGGCTCCGGCAGCAGCACAAGAGCTGAAGATGCCAAGCAAAAGTTCTGGGCTTATTTGCTTTTTTGCCTAAAGCAACACATTCTCCTGCAAGCCCCGGTGCTGATTTTAATTCATCTCTTCAAGTTTCACAGACAACACAGCGTTACTCCACTGCCGTTGCGCCAGTAGCTACCGCTCTCCG